TAATTAAAGCACTATGACCGATATGGAATCATGAGGTTTGTAGTTTGGTAAGGCATTAGAGCTCTCTGGCTTAGAATTCTAAGTACTCCTACCTAAACTGCAAATCCCAGGATTGCATAGGGTGGAAAAACGGCAGTTAGAATCATTGTGCTACTGTGTGTTGTGAAAGGGCCCATAGGCTCAATACTTAAATATGTTCTGCGCCAGAGACTCTCAACAGTGGTTTGCAAACTGCATTCCAAGGGTTTGCAGAAAAATCAAAGAACATTTCTTATTAAAAAATTCAGTTTATTTAAAATAAATCTGACCATAAGAACAATGGCTAGATGGAGGAAAGATGGATATAAAATTTGTATTAATATAGGGGGATTGCAGACTGCCAGAAATAGTGCAAATTGAGTCCACTTTTAAGGTTAGGGTTAGTGCTAGGGAATCATGGGAATTGTTTTTTTTTCTGAGACATTGAGCCTTCTCTGTCAGAGAGCTCTGGTGCCACAATAAAACACAGTTCCCATGATTCCCTAACTCTAACCCTAACCCTAAAAGTGGACTCAATTTGCACTATTTCTGGCAATCTGCAACCCCCCATAGTCTATAAAAGGAGACTATTTTTTCTGGAAAGATCTTTGAGGGTCTTCAAGTATTCTTGGATGACTGTCACCCCCATAGGTGGCATCCCCTGGGTGGCAGTGCCTATTGCTTGCCACTTCTGCTGTATATTTTCATGAGGACTGGCTGCTAAAAGAGAAGCTGGCAACAGGAAACACTAGGAGCAAAAAAACATCTTTATTTTGCTCTAGACAGAGGGTTTTCTACCCTTGGGACCATCTGAGGGCCACAGGGACTGCTAAAAGGAACCAAACTCCCAAAGTTTTTTCGGGTTTTTTCGGGCTGTGTGGCCATGTTTCTAGAAGAGTTTCTTTCTGACGTATTCCAGCCACAGATGCTGGCAAAATGTCAGAAAGAAACTCTTCTAGAGCATAGCCACACAGCCCAAAAAACCCCCACAAAAAACTACGGATGCCGGCCATGAAAGCCTTCGACTTCATAAACTCCCAAAGTTGCTGGAAATTTGCTTCTGGTAAATTCTGTTTAAAGTTAACATAAACCCACTCCCCTCATAATCTATTTAAAAGGTGAGTTGGTGCTCCTGGAATCCTCCAGCAGAGGCAATTCACCCCTTCTTTTTTAGCAAAAGAAGAAAGGCAATCTAGAGAATCTAGGTGTGTTGGCAACTGCAAAAACAGCCTTGGGCGGAGGGGAGGATGTGATCCCAGGGCTGCATTTTGCCCATGTCTAAGCCCTTGCCTAAGCCCATTTTGTTTGTCTGTTTTGGGACTTGTTCCTAGTAGTCCCAGTATTTCCACAGTTGAGTTGAGTGCAAACTACATTTGTTCTTTGAACTCAGTTTGCAGCAATGGTAGTAATCTAAGGACAAAGGGGGAAAACGAAGAGAAGGAGAAAGAAACTGGGACATTTTAAAAGCAACTGAAAAAGTGGGAAGACAGGAGAATACATGGGACTCTTTCTGATAAACTGGGGCAGTTGGAGGGTACAGAGATGCAATCCAACAACACCAACATCTTCTCTGCCTAGAGTAGAGGTGGGAATGGCGCACCTCTCCCAGATGTTGCTGGATGGCAATTTTCAGCAGTTCTAACCAGCATAGTCAATTATGAGGAATGCCTGAAGTTGCTGCTGTTCAACCACAGAAGCCGCATAAGTCCACCCCTCATCTAGAGGACTGCAGGCAATAAACAGTATTTTAAATCCCCAAAGCACTCTTGCAGCAACATGACGTTGCTGGGCAGGAAGCTTTTAGGTGTACATGCCAACTGGTTGGCAAACACCTAAGGAACAATCAGAAACTAATTTCAAGGGTTGTCAATTCCCCTTTGAACAATTTGATTGGCTAAGCATTACACAGCAGCAGAAGATCTTCCCTCTTTATGGCTTTCAGCTCAACCTTTATGCTTTCAACACTCAGATGAGTAAAGGAGTTTTATTATTTTTATTATCGTTTTGCAGACTCGGGCTGCAATGATTCAGGCAGCAGAATGAGAGGATAGGATCTCAAATGCTAGAATGCACCACATCATTACAGACTGCGGTTAAGGGGATCAATTTTTTAAAAAGTTCTGTGTTAAAGCACAATAGCAATTCTGTGTATGTAGAAAACTTTTGCATACATTTTTTTTTAAAAAAATGCCCTTTTATTCCAGATCTATCAGTATAGAGCATGATTATATAATTATTGAATTCTATTTTTTTAAAATAGTTTAATTTAGTTTTAAGGGGTGGTAGGGTTGGATTTGGGATAAGGAATGTTTTAAAATGTATGTTTTTATTATTGCTGTTCCCCGCCTCGATTGCGATGCAGAGAGGCAGGTTATAAATAAAATTTATTATTATTATTATTATTATTATTATTATTATTATTATGATTAGTACTGAGTAGAATGCATTTCATATATGCTAAAGGAGGAACATTCTTCCAGTTACTACATCTTTCCCAACACTGTAAGATATTAAGCTTAGCTTTAATCTTGTCGCAGAAAGGTTAGAGCAATGGTTCTCAACCTATAGTCCTGCAGATATATTGGACTTCAGTTCCTAGAATTCCCCACTATTATCATTGCTGGTTGTGGCTTCTGGTCACTGAGGTTCAAAACTTTCAAAAGACCACAGGTTGTGAATCAATGACTTAAAGAACTACTAGTCTGTGAACTACATAAAATTTTTGATTCTGTACCACCTACCTAGCTATGTAACCACCCCACAATCCTCCTAACAGCAGCTTCTGCCCAGTAAGTAAGGATTAGGAGACTTTCACAATCCCTACATATTCCCTAAATTATTGAATACATAGAGATTGTGAATACGAATCAGTCACGAATGCATAACTTTAGGTTCCACATGCATAACCACCCTAGTGAATTCCAGTGTTTATTTTTTTTTTTTGTCTTTCAAAATAATAATTAAAAAAATAAAAAAATAATAAAACTTGTTGAATGTAGCCAAAGATCCATACAAACTAAAAAGTATAACAAAAATGGGAAGAGCAAACAAAATGTCAGCTTTTGAACTACAGACATTGGTAGTTCAATGTTGGATTGTTAACAAACTGTTCATACAACAAGCATATTGACAGTCCTTTAAGATTAAGAAGTTTTTAAAAAAATAGAATTAAGGGTAGCTACATAATTTCTGAGCTGATACAGCAATACACAGTATTATATTGGTGAGATAAGGTTGATAGTCACCCAGAGATTATATCAGTATATGCTATGGAATTCTGTCTGAGTAATCTAGGAGAACATTTGGTAGAGATGTTCTTCTTATACTTGTATAAAAGGGACAAATAATGTACAAGGATATCATCTTGATTGTTGCCAAATTTATATTGATGTTCTGTCAGAAAAGCAATATCTAAGCATCTTCCCTTGAGATGAACAGAAGACATCAAAATTCAGCAAAAGGCTCCACAAATCTTAGGAAAAATCAAGCTCTAAAAGTAGTGTGCCTTGGAGTGATGAGATAAATCTCTAACTGTTGTTTGCACAAAAGCCTTTCCTAAGGTATTTCCTATAACTGGGGTGGCACCATTTTGTCAGCTAATCATTTAGACTAGCCTTCCATAATCTAGTGCCCTCAAGGTCTGTAGACCTACATCTCTTATCCTCTTCAGCCCAATTCAAATCAACCAAAAAAACATTAAGGAAGAATCGGGCTTAATGTTTCAGTACAAGAAGCTGGCTGAAATCCTGTTGCTCCATCCCAACTAGAGCATCCAGTAAAAACCTCCAAAGAAGGAGACTCCACTACATCCTGAGGGAATGTGTTTTCTATCGTGGAACAGCTCTTACTGTCAGTAAGTTCCTCCTAATGCTTAGCTGGAATCTCTTTTCCTGTAGTTTGCCCTGTGTTCTGGTCTCTGGAGCAGCAGAAAGCATCCTCAATATGCCTTCCCCCAACCTCACAAACAAAACCTGGAAATAGCTGGAAGCTTACTGCCAGAGTGAAAATTGGAGAGGGTTCCTGTACCTTTAACGGTTGTATAGATGAGGGGATTTGAGCAAGTCATGCAACAAGCAACACCTGCTAAAATTCCCTCTTCTACACAAAGTACATGGGTGTACTTTGCCCATGTTGATGTGTAAGATCACAGGTTCACTTCATCACCATCTCCAGTTAAGATAGCAGACAATGACAAAGGCCTCCACTAGAAATACTAGGAAGCTGATATCCATCATACTAGACAAGGTTCTTGCATGCATCCAGACTGATTGAAAATCTCCAGATCCCCCTCCCCCCATTCCTGTTCTTTTCAATTTTATACTGGATTAAAATAAACCAACCTGAGCAGCTAGTATAAAAAGTCTCAGATCATACCAGGAGCTGACAGAAAATATTCTGGGATATTTTTTTATATGTCTCTCCAAAATGAAATTGAAAAGAACAGGACTAAAATCTGGGACTTTCTGCTCTTTTTAATCAGTTTGGATGTGCCCAATGCTGCCCTAGCCTGGAATGAGGCAACATCATCCTCCAGCCCGAGCCCAATCTTCCGGAGCCAAACCACCACTGAGCCACTAAGAAGCCCACCATTCTGCATCATCTTTACTGTCCCTCAATGAGGCAGAGGATGCTAGCTCCTATATTATAGGGCCATATAGCATAGCCGTCCCTTCCAGAAAGGAAGGGGAAGGAGGAGAAAGAGCTCTCTCTGTCAAAACTTTAGCAGAAGTTACATTACCACCATCTGCAGTGGCAGCAGCAAAAGGGAGTTCCAGGAGACAGATTTTTTCCCCATTTGACAGGCTACATAATCCCTTGCTATTGTTGCTGTGTGCCTTCAAGTTGTTACCATCTTATGATGACCCTAAAGTGAACCTATTATAGGGTTTTCTTGATGAGATTTATTCAGAGGAGGTTTTTCCTTCCCCTTTCCCTAAGGCTGAGACAGTGTGACTTGCCCAAGGTCACCCAGTGTATTTCCATTACTGGGCAGGGATTTGAACCCTGGTCTCCAGAGTTGCAGTCCGACACTCAAGCCACAGCACCACACTGGTTCTCACAGATTGCCTAGCCCTTGCCTAAATACCCCATTGTGAAAGAAAGGCAGGATATAAATCCTTGAAATAAATAAATAAATAAATAAATAAATGATAAATAAATCATAAGTCAATAGGGCAGATTCATAAAACAATGAGAGAGAGAGAGAAAAAGAGAGAGTATCCTCTCTTGAGACTGGGGTATCTATACTATACACTTATACTCATTTCATACCATTTTACCTGCTATGCCTCAGTCCTGTGGAATCTTGGGATATATAGAATGGTGAGAGATTAGACTTTTCTATAGCCAGGTTCTAGAAATTTCTAGCAGAGCAATCTAAATACAATTGGCCTTCTTTATCCACAGATTCGTTATCCATCAATTCAATCACCCATGGCTTGAAAATATATACATTTTTAAATATAAGTTCTAAAAAGGGAACCTTGATTTTACCATTAAAGGACACAATTTTATTACACCATTGCATGAGGGGGTATCGTAAAGTTTCAATTATCACCTTTAAAAAAATTTGACAGAAAGTTTGTTTTGATTTGTAGTTGATAACATATCTCTACGTAGTCACCATCCAGATTTACACATTTTTACAGCATTTCTTGACCCTCCAAATGCCTGATTTTGTAGAAGTCTGCATATTGCGCCTTACTGGGGGTATTGCAAAGTAATAATTATCACCTGGAGATTATTATGGTATATTGATGAAATTTTGTCCGTGTCATCATTTGTCCCTAAGTGCTTGATGTTGAGAAAGTCAGCTCATTGTGTCCTTAATTTTTGTAACAGGTTGTGCCAGAAGTGACTAAAGTATAAAATCCTCGTAAGGCACAATCTGCAGACTTCTATAATAATGGTATTTGGGTGTGTGTGTGTGTGTGTCAAGAAACACTGGGGAAATGTGTAAATCTGGATAGTGACTACATAGGAATACGTTAACAACTACAAATCAAAACAAACTTTCTGTCAAATTTTTTTAAAGGTGATAATGAAAACATTATGATACCCGCTCGTATTTAGTGGGACTTGAGTATTGATGGATTTGGATATCCTGGAAACAAAACCCAGTGGATATCAAGGACCCAGTGTACCTCAATAAACTACAGATCCCAGGACTCCATAGGACTGAGCCATGAGAGTTAAGTGGTCTGAAACTGATATAATTGTGTAGCGGAGTTACACCCAGAAAAAGGTGTGTGATAATGTATGCACACATTGTCAAGATTGTGAATAGCTTATGGAAAACCCTTGCCTTTCAGTTCTCCATTGTAGGATCTCACACAGATTTCTGTTCTTTATAAAAGTACACACAAATAACAAAACAACAACAACAAAAAAACGTACCCCAGTTCCTTATCTAGACAATTTCCTACTGTTTCTACAAATGCATCCCTCTCACTCTCTCTCACTCTCGTTCTTGCTTTCTCACTCTCTTTTTTTCATTTGGAAATTCAAATCTCCAAGACACTCTCCAAATCAATGATACCTAATGAACACTTTCTCTGTTCTGGCACATCAGAACCATGATCTCCAATTATCCCTGCCTTTCTCTGTCACAAAACTAGTTTTTCACTTATTTCTCATACAAACACCTCTGTGTTTTCTTTCTCAGTGACTCACTCGCACATCCCCTGCTCCGCATGCATACAACGCAAAGAGATGCCTCTGCTTCGGGTGCCTCTGTCAGGATGCCTTGGTGCAGAATATTTTCTTCTTCCAAGTAGACTTTAACAGTTCATTAATGTTCACCAAAAACCAGGGCAGAGGAAAGGTAGGTACTGAATTTGCACCTGTTGCAATGCCTGCATATTAATGAAAGTTATTGACTAGGTATAGTGAACACGAGAGGCATGTACAATTTGTTATGAATTACTCACGTGTGGAAGGGTACGGATGAAAACAACAACAAAATGTTTCAGAGCAGATGGCTTTTTCCATGTTCCAGCGAGCAAGCCATGCCATCTCTCCAGGACACTCTATTCTTTTTCTGCATCCTGCTTTCTCCTCATTTACACAAATGTTGTGGCCATTAGTCCTCCTTGGAGTATCACTTGTTCCCTTCATTGTTGATTGCCTTTCCTCTAAAAGATTTTGCAGCTTCTTTTTCAAAACCTTGCAGTTCTCTTGAGTATGCTGTTTTTCCATGGCTCCATTTTGGCTATACATCTGTGCCACAGTATTGCTGATTCCTATGTATGTATGGTTATGAAAGCTGGACAAAGAAGAAAACTGGCAGGAAGAGAATCAACTATAGTCAACCCTCCACATATGAGGCTTTGACTTCCCCACCCCTTCCCAGTTTATTTTTACTACAACCTGACTTTTATGATTAAAAACTACATATTGACATTAACAATAAAACAATGACAACAACACGCAACCAGTTGACACACAACATCAAACAGATACAAAATCATAACATAATCTACATAATAAACATAACAAAAGACTTCCTTCCCAGCAGGATTTGTTTTTGTTGTCCATTTACCCTTCTTATCTCCTTCTGAATGTTACATTATTTTATAACCCAGGTTAGCCTCTATTGTATAACCCAGGTTAGCCTCTATTGTATAACCCAGGTTAGCCTCCACATATTTCCAAAGATAAACATTTGTACATTCCTATATGAGATTTATATCTTATCATATCTTCCTTTGTCTATATATCACATCTGAGGCTTTGACTTTTGCGGATTTGATTATTTGCTGATTCGATTATTATGTTCCCTCTAGGAATCTCGGTCCTCCAGTGTGACTAGAGATTCCTAGAGAGAACATTTCTCAAAGCATTTGTAGGTCCTACAGCACAATTCTGTGGTCACCTTCTTGCAGATGTTGACCATAAAGTTGTCCTGGAGAACTTAGAGATTCCTAGAGAGGTGTTATCTCAATTGAAAATAATTATTGGTTATTTTTGTGGTGTTTCCACTTTCATGGTGTGTGTGTCCTGTGTCCATAACCTGAGTGATGGAGGGACCATTGTAGTTTGAAATCTAGTGCTACAGAATTCTGTGGATGCCATGGACAGCCCAAAAAGTCAAATTAATGAGTCTATGAGCAAATCAAGCCTGCAATTTCCATAGAAGCCAAAATGACTAAACAGGGGCTGTCATACTTTGAACATATCATGAGACGATGGGACTCACTGGTAAAGACAATAATGCTCAGTAAAATGGAAGGCAGTAAGAAAAGAGTAAACCCACATTACAGCTGGATTTTATTAATCTACAACCTCAGGTTTGTGAGATTTGAGCAAGGCTATTGATGGCTGGGTCTCATAGAGACCTGGATGCATACATATTGGGTGTGTGTGTGTGTGTGTGTGTGTGTGTGTGACAAAATGAGGGCATTGCTCTCCCAAACAAGAATTTGAACCCCCACCCCTACCTGCCAATGAAATTTTCCATCAGTCAATATATTTTTCTAACACCAAAGATCATTGCTCTCCCAAATAAGAATTCTGTCCTCCCCCATGAAATGTTCCATTGGTCTGTATATTTCTAACACCGGAAATCATTCACAGCTAGAACTCTTCTCTTTGTTTTGTTCTTATTCCTTTTCTAACTTTGCCTGCCCCTTTTCTTTGCCCAGGTTTGATGGCCAGTTCCATTCAGCTGCAGATTGTAATAAAGGATTGATCGAGGTTTTAGACGTATGTCTGAGATTTACGGCATTGTTTCTTCTTCCTTTCCTGGATTTTATTTTGCTGTTATTTCTACATCCTCAACTAAGCTGTTATTTCTACATCCTCACGTGAGGCTTTCATTCGCAGCAATGTTAGAAATTGGGAGAAAGAAGAAAAATATCATGGGGGGGGGATTCATATGGGAGGGGGCAATGCCCCCAATTTACTACCCACCCCATAACTAGACCCCTGGGATAGAGATCTCTCATTCATAGGACGTTATCACATGTGGGCCAGAAAGCGATAATAAAGTGGA